AGGGATCTACCACAAGCAGCTGAGTAGCTGCCTTTGGGATGTGGGCTGCTTCCTGTGTATAAGGAGAAGCTTTGGGCATAGTCTCTAGCTCATGGCACGCTTGGACCCTGCGTGTAGTAGCCATGTTGTTGTTCAGCAGCCTGCCATGCTCTGCCGACCCTGGGACTTACAATGGACTTGAATTAATGGCCTGCCGTGTGGTTTGGTAACATTGGGACTGTGCCATTTTATTTGTCGACCTTGGGCTTGTTAGCCTCAGCAGCGAGTAAATGCCTGAGTGAAAAGACGCCTCTAGCTTCAGTGGGCTGGGAGCAGGAGGCAGAGCTGAAGCCCAAGGCTGAGGGCTTTCACCCAGCCCCTAGAGCTTGGCACTTTGAACTTGGACTTAAAGCCTCTAACTTGTAAGAATAAATTCCTGTTTAAGCCATTCCATTTGTGGTATATTCTTTTCTGAGTGGCACTAGGTAACCAAAACAGCTGGTCTACTGATGGTTCTGCCTGGACTTCCAAGCTCTCTCGCAGCAGGACTTGCTCAGCTGGGAGGTGGGAAGGCCACACTGAAGGGGCTTGTGTCTGCACCAGCTGGGAAGCGCCTGAGACCAAAGCTGACCCAGAGAAGAGCCAACAGATAGATTCCTGCGGATGCTGCCTGAGCCTTTGGATCCAGCTGTGTGTGAAGCAAACATCCTTGGAGACCTTTTGGTTACATGAGCTTGTAATTCCCCTTGTATCACTTTCTGTGGCCTGTGACAGTCCCAGCTCTTAACACCTACCCAGCTTTCTTTGGCCACTGAGGATTTGCAACACTCCCTCTGGTGGTGTAGTGCCTAAGGCATCTGACTGCTAACCAGAAGGCTGGTGGGTTCCACTCCTTGGAAGGAAGGTTGGGCCATCTACTTCCATAGTGATACTGCCTTGGAAACCCAAAGAGGGCTCGCTATGAGTCAGATCCGACTCGATGGTAAACACAACAACAACTCTGGCCAGATCAGGTGTTCCCAGCGAACCAGAAAGCTGGGCTTCATGTGAAATCTGAGTTTTAAATACCGGTGCACGGCCAGTCCAGACGTGCCCGGGAGGCAGATGTGGCCCGCAGGTCAGCAGGGCATGCCCTGGACTCTGCTGTAATACTATGCAGGGACCCCTTCCCCTGTGGCCGCAGTCTGCTTTCCCAGGGCCTGTCCTTGCCCTTCTTGGCCCTTTATTCAGGCCACTTGGCCACAAAGAGTTTCTCCCTTTCTGCAAGGTCCAAGCGACTTCCCACACCCACTCACCCCTGCTACTCTTCCCCTGGCATCTCTGCTGTTGGGCACACAGAACCCCATTCTGGGAGCTGATTGGACTCCCTCGGCCTCAGGCCTCTGCATTTCGTGTTCCTGCCTGGAACGGTCTTTCCCACAGGTGGCACGGTTCATGCCCTTACCACTCAAACGTCTTACAACTAAGCCCTCGCCCACCCC